ACTGAATTCAGAAAGGCATTTGGATATAGAATGATGACTTTCAAAGCTAGAGAAATTATTAAGAAATAAGAAACATCCGTCAAAAACAAACAAAATGTTACTGAATCATTACAAAGATCGATTCTCGTAGATAGGAATGAATGCTGGAAAATCTGTTCATAGAGGAAGATATTGTTTGTCTTGGTTTGGTTTGGTTTATGGCATATCAACTTCAATGGGTTATTTAATGCCGACAAATTTTTTTATTGCTGGCAATATTTTTTTCCAAAAATGTATTGCTGCTAATAATGTATTGCTGTTAAAAATCTTTTTCTTCAAAAGTTTGAATCTGGTAATATTTTTTCCACTGGTATTGAAAACTTGTTTTACACTTTTTTCATAGTGTTTTGACACCAACTTAGGGGTAACTATTTTTTTTTATAGCTGGTACCCTAACAGGTGCTACCACCCTGGGTCATGGAGGACCTGGGAAAAGAAGCAATTAAAATGTAGTTACGCGCTCCTCAAACACCCCTGACCAGAGGCTTACTGTTGGGTATTGTTTATTGTCTTATCTAGGACGCGAATGTATTTTATGATTTTATCCAGGACGCAGGTATAGTTTACCGTCTTACCCTGGACTCGGATGTAGTTTATCATCTCATACTGGACAGGAAAGAAATGGTTTCAGGCAACAGAAATATGAGTCTACAGTCTAAGTAAATTATGTAATGGACACGTGATCAATGAGAAAAAAGAATAAAAAAGAACACTGATACATAGCATCAGAAACAGACTGCTAAAAAATGAGAAGAGAGGACTTGGAAAAATTGACACCCACAGGACACATTAAAGACAAGAGTGACTGAAGAAATCAGAGTATAGCCTATATAAAGGGCGTGGAGAGCAGAACAGCTGTTTAGGATAGATAGCAAAGAGACAAAATTTACTAATAGCTACAAAGAACAGAAGGTTGTGTAGAGTTATGATCGCCCATATCCTGAAAGGACACTTAATATAAAAGCTGAACTTATTTCTGAATCAAGTCGAGGAAGTATGTGTATAGCAATAAAAGAAATTGTGTATTGCCATAATCTTCAGTTTCCTGAATGGACAGGGTTTATAAAAGAAGAACCATAAGTCCTTGTCTTGCGCCGATGATAATAGGTTGACAAATGATCCAAGAGAAAAATTAACAAAATATTTTTAAAAATAGTTGCAGAAACAAATAAGCAGTAATTATTAGTTCTATGTAGACTGTCTACATAAATTTGAGCAAGAAGTGTAGCTGAAGACGGGCGTTACTCATAGGCAACGTCATGCTCAAGCAAGCGAAAAAAATCACCTCTGTTGCTAATGTAATACCAGAACTGAAAGTATATTTTTTTTCTTTATAATCATTTCACTGCAAATAAGCTGGGAATGCTACAAGTATGCAAGTGTTCACAAGGAAGGAAAGCGAAAGAAAAAACTGAGAATAGGTTGGATTGATGAAAGGATAAAATATCAGGGTTCAAGAAAACACAAAATGGCGATTAACGTTGCATTCAAATATTTGAAGATTTTAGTTATCAATGAAGCAAAGAATCGGGAAGTTGTTCCACAGCAGGAGAGTGCAGAAATAGACACAGTTGGAGTAGAAGAAGCGATTGTATTTAACTATATCAACAGTAAAACGGTGCTACCTCGATGCCCATCTAGTAGCACGCTTAAATTCATGTATTCGAGACACCAAGAAAAAAAATCATCAGAGCAGTTGCCATGAAAATAATTATAGAAAAGATAGAGAGAGGCCACGTCACGTTGAGGAGAAAGTGACTGAAGTTAAAATTTCAACTCAGGATCGATTATATTACCGATCAATATTTTCATTTTGTTAATAACATCGAGATGAATATCGATATTTATTGTATTAAAAATACAATTATGACAGAAAGCCGAAAAGGAGGTAAAGGGGTTGAGGCTGGTCTTCACTAACTATCCTACACCTAGCTAAACCGATTCACGCCCCATTCAATCGTTACAATTTGCGCATTCACCACAAAAACTCGTCCGACACCAATCCATCCTCCATACACCATAATACAGCATCCTTTCAGGGGGATCTAGAAAACGCACCTTGAGATTTAAAAAATTAATATTTCTTAGATAAAAATCTAATATTTGAAAATAAGATAGGTGCGGGGATGAGACCCGAAACAAACTAAATATCAAACAAGGCAAAATAAATATAACTAATGTTAGTAGGATCCGTCCAGCCTTCCTATCAGGAATATCAGCAGCAGAGACTTGATATACAACAGTATTCAATGCACGGACGAATGTCCGATTTGTAAACATGCAAGATGAATTCTGAGGGAAAAGATCTTCTGGCATGACACACTGGCTCATCCTCCTTTTTAGTAAAATCTGCTGTTCGTTCGATTTAATCATTTGACTCAAAAGTTCGGCCCACACCTTACCAAGGGCTTTATCAATGTAAAATATGGGTGTGCGTGGTGGGTATGTGTGTGTGTGTGTTTTAATTGGTCAGTGAAAAATATCATGATGTCATTTCTGACACCAGGTCTCTGGTTTGGACCTGAGCAAAAATGAGTACATCATAACTCACTGGATCTAACCAACGCCTTTATCCACTGCGCCATGTGTCCTTGAGAACATCTGTGTATGAATGGCTGGGTATTATAAAACTAATGTCTTCAGCAACATTTTTTTACCAGTGTCCATATTGAAATTTTTGCAGTAATCATTCATGTTTTTACCAGGGCTCATTTTGCAATTTTTGTTGTTACTATCGCTTTTCTCTGGCACTCCTTATTACTGGTTCCCATATTGTATTCATTTCTATGCTTCGTCGGGTCAGGAGATTTTTGTGGCTTAGCATATGTGCTAAATCATTAAGTTTACGAATTTTCCAATGGTGTTCTTTGTCTATGATCTCAACCTGATCCCACAGAGTGCGGTGATCTCCCTTCTCTCTCCATATGTGGTCAGCCACGCCTGATTTTTCTACTTCCCCTCGTGTTACAGCTTTCTGGGGTTCTTGAAGACTTACCTTAATGGGGCGGCCTGTCTCCCCTTTATATTTATTTCCGCAACTGCACGGGATAGCCTACACACAGTCTTTAGTCATGTTTTCCTCTAGGAGGGGGTCTTATTCGGGAGAGATATCTGCGAAGTGTCGTCTAGCTTTTGAAGGATGTCCTGATGTTATATGAACCGCAGATCCTTTGTATTTTCTCTGATAACCCTTTCACATAAGGCAGGCAGAATGTTTTCTGAGTGTTGTTGTCCTCCTCTTGTACCCGCCTATCACAGTTTTTTTTTGGTAGGGGGGGGTTGCCATGTAACCAGGGTAGTTGTTACGTTGTAGGATACTATGTATACTATCCAATTCTTTATCTAATGTCCCTGGGTAATAAATTTAAGAATGTGACAAGAGACAATAATTTTCTGACCGATGACAAAACGCTGATAGAGAATAAGAAAATAAAAGTTCGAGAAGAATTTAAGCGCAACTTTTAAACCAATAAATGAAGTCACATGACAAAACGAACGCAAAAATGGAACGCTAAAGCAAGTGTTAAAGAAAGACAATGATAAACAACAAAATAATAAAATAAAACTTAAAATCGATAAAAAAAAATAAAACATGATAATGAAAATATAAAATTAAACAAAAAATAAATCTTTGTCATTTCTCTCATCCGTTGTCTTCGATGTCACGACATGTCCCGATGGGCTCCATAAAATTCAGACAATCATATCACTCGAAACGCCTCCCTGTGCACAACCAATTTAACAGCCAGACATTTGGGGATCAATGAATTCTATTGTTCTATTTTTCTGGTAAGATTAAATTTTTATCGATTTCTTTATTTTATTTGTTTCAATTGCATGAAACTACAACACCGTACTGCCTTAAAAGTTGTTCGCGCAAGTAATTCTTAAATGATTTTCCAATTTTTTGTCTCAGCTTTCACATTGTATATTTTCCAAGTTTATTAATGTAGGTTTATATTAAGCACTCATTCGTAATGTTTCCTCTTTTTTTCATTTTCTGAAATAAATGTTTCTATTTGGTTGCTGCATAATTATCAGGCGTTTTGTAGGTGAATTTGGAGGTGAGTTATTTATTAATAAAAATTGCTGTTTTGTTTACTATTTTTAAATAAAATTTTTATTTTATTTTCATATTATAAAAATGCGTGTCGATAATCGTAGGTTTCGGAATAATCATTTTAAAATGTTATTGTTGAATTATTATGTTTCTTTTTTATCATAAATAATTTTAAAAAAACCCTCAGATAATTATGCACCAACATAATATACAGTGCTGTTTGATAAAAGTGACTCACCTAAGTTTTTTTTTTTTTTTTACTAAAAGTTCTCTTCTCCGATGAAACGAAAGTTGAGCTAAATTCAAATGATAAGCGATCTAAAATCCGAAGAAGAAGCTTTGAAAGCTCTTTGAATTTAGCAGTAAGTACTCTCAAGCATCCGTTCAGTATAATGTTCTGGGGATGGTCTTCTTTTCATGGAACTGTATTTTTTATACCTATTGAAAAGATCCTCAGGAGCGAGCAGTAGAAGAGAATTTTAGAGTCTTGTCTGCTCCCTTCTGCTGAACGGGTGCAAATCGACCCCACCATGCTCACTTTTATGCAGGATAATGCTCCTTGTCATAAATCAAAATTTATTAAGTAATACCTTTAAGGAGAAGCAGGTGAGTGTTATAACATGGCCGCCCCAATCTCCTGACCTGAACCCCATAGAAAACTTATGGAGCAGTATAAAGTACAGTCCCTCGAGAAAGCAGTTGAGCAACATGCTCCATAAGTTTTCTATGAGAAATTCAGTAAAATAGCTTCAATCATTTACAAGATACAACGGTTCAAATCTAACAAATGGACAATTTTGCTTTTACACGATTTGGACAATTCAAATATATATATATATATATATATATATATATATATATATATATAGAGAGAGAGAGAGAGAGAGAGAGAGACAGAGACAGAGACAGATAGAGACAGAGAGAGAGAGAGACAGACAGACAGACAGACAGACAGTGAGAGAGAGAACAAGAGAGGGAGAAAGGAGGAGGAGAATGATCCATCTATCCAACAGTTTTTTGTCACATGCGAAGATATCAGACGCATCCTTGCCCACAGGCGTTAAGCGCCACTGGTAACGGTCGAAGCGCAGTCTACATCAACAGCTGGGGTGATCTAAGATCAACTCTGCAGCTGGCTTCCTTTCGCAATAGGTGAGAAATTGACGCCAGGTCTGTTCAAATTTAATATCAAATTATCTATTGTTATTTCCAAGGCCAGATATCCAAGATATTACTGAAATTTTACATCTGGAGAAAGATGAGCGTATCTGTTCATAAGAAACATTAAGCTTGTGCAAATAAAACTGATGAGTACTTCGTCGGAAAATCTTAAATAAACTGACGATTTTAACAATTAATTATAATTTTTCATTAAAGATGAGAATTCTACCACTGACAAAGTTACTTCAAATAAAGTGTGTTCCATTAACTTTGAGCGATTTTAAATGTGAATTAATTTTAAGCGTCTAATGATTTTTTCTTTTTCTTTCGGATTGAACAACTTAAGTCTTTGGCGATTTCAGACATGGAAAGATTAACAATCAAACAACGTGTTACAGTTTCAAGAGTGCAATTTGAAAAATTGTTCGTAAATTTCAACAAACTGGGTCGGTAGCAGATATGAAAACACCACTGCGTTTAAGCCGTTCAGCTGAAAACATTGCTGCAGTGCATGAGAATGTAGCCGAAAATACAGAATAATACATTAATGCAGGACCGTTACATCTGCCAATACTTCATTAATAATGTACTATTCCTTTTTGTTCGGGTGGAAAGAGGGGAAAAGACACCACTTGGATTCAATGAGGAAATGAATGAAATAAAGAAGTGTGGTGAATAAAAAGAAGACAGCAACCAGCGAGTAAATTCAAGCTCTCCCAACTGGTATTCCAATCTCGAGTCGTTCCTTCTTGAGTTCTGTCTCAAAATCGCAATAACAGACTTTTCTAGCCGCCCACCGTGAGCGTCACCCCCCCCACTGGGAAAAAGTAGTTGCTTTTATATTTGTCCATATACCCATAATCCCTTGCGTCTTCATGTGATCCCATAATTCATTGCGTCCCTGCCCCATAATGCATTGCATCTTTATTGCACAAAAATGCAATGCAAGTCCCCCCACATTCTTTTACGTTATTTGGCCGAGGACGGATTACGGCAGAGCGGCAAGTGCTTTTTTTCTCCCTCATTTCAACTGCAGTAGTTTTGCATGCTAAGCAAATACGGGCTCTTTTTTGGCGGGGACAAGGCAAGTCGCAACCAGTTGTGCTCGTCTCAGGTTCTGTCTCATCATGTCTGCCACAGAGCTAGAAATATGTAACGTCCCCTGCTAATGCCTCATAAATAATGGACTATTTCGATTTGGCTGCCTAAAATGACGGAAATAATATATAGCGGACGCTACTTAGTTTCACTGAGAAAATGAAAGAAAGACACAATGGAAGATAGAAGTCTTTCACATCTGTTTCAATGAAATGGAAAAAGTTGTTAAATTTAATTCTTTTCACTTGTACCAACTTCTTAAAATAACGATAATCATTCAAATTATGATTGTTATTTCAATATTTGTATAAGTCGCTAAACTCAAATATTTAACGATCCGATAATTTCTACGGATATATTATTGTCGTTGAACTCGCCATGATATTATTCTGTCAATAAAATGATGAATGAAGATTTTTCAGAAAATTCAAGTGTAAACTGAGAAAATTTCTTGGTTTTTCTAATTTTCATTATTATTAAGAAACAGGAATATTTCGTTAGAAACAAAGAAACGAGTCCGGAATTGTTACGTAATATCAATCTTATTATAAAGTAGTGAATGCATGACAATCTCTTCACAGATAAAGAAGAGACTTTACAATTCTAACAACATTTGTAACGTTTTTATTATAAAATCTATAATAACGTTCAATGTGTACTCACAAGAGGCGATCATGTTAGAGTGGTAAAGTTAAGTGGCACAATTTAGGGAGATTCATGGGGAAGATAATGCCGAAATCTAAAACTGAACAGGGGGAGATTGTGTTTTTCTTTTTAAAATAAATGCTACAGGCAGCGGAATTGTATAATGTGTTATTATCTCATACCTGGATATATATATATATACATTCAACACAATCACGTGATAAGACACCAGAAGTGTTGAAACAAAATGGCTATTTTTAGTGGTTTTATAACGTATTTCTGTTATAATATTTGAATAAAAATTATATATATATATATATATATATATATATATATATATATAATTCTTTTATTCAAATGTTATAATAGAAATACGTATATATATATATATATATATATATATACGCAGCAATCATTCTTTCATGAACATTTCATTGAATACAATAGACAAGGTGCTTTTATATATGTTTTTTTTTATACAATTTTTCTTGGGATCTAATTTTTTTTTCACATGACAAATTATATAAAAACTGTCCGAATGTTCTTTTTTATCCGAACGCTTTCGGCTATACATTTAGCCTTTTTCAAGGATTAAATATTTTAACTGTTAAATAAGAAACAGTATGTTGCATGTATGTATATAAAATGTTTTCATTTTTTAAAACACGGTCAAGATATTATATCCATGTTCAAAGTTAATATTCTTAAGTGTTGGTTTGTTTCTTTTTATTAATAAAGCTTCCATTATTTTTAGCCTTTTTTTTTGCATATAGAAGATGCTGTTAAATTAGTGTTGTCAACAAGTATGTTATGAATAGTATCCGATAGGTCTCCATGAATATTTAAATGAGATCAAATTCAGTTATGGTCAGAAAGGTGTAGAGTGAGTCTGCATGTCAAACATATTGCAGTGTGGCCTATATAATTGTTTACGAATTTAGATTGATCAGGAATATAATTCCTTAACTGCCATTTAAATTCGTAAATAATATTTGCCCTATTTAATTTTGTTCTAAGTGGTGAATTATTATTTTTTTAGAGGTTTTCAATTTTTTATATATATATATATATATATATATATATATATATATATATATATATATCAAGAAAGGATAAACCTCTACTCCAGTTGAAAACACAGGGATGGTATATATATATATATATATATATATATATATATATATATATATATATATTGGGGTGTGCAGAATACAGGTATAATCGATCGTTAAACTAAAAATCATCTAAATATGAAGAAAAAGAAGAAAATTTACTGCATATTATGCCAACAGAAAAAAGGGAAACATAATGAAATAAATGTAAAATATTTGAATGTTGGAATAATAATAATAATAATAATAATAATAATAATCATTCAATTAGAGATAAGTGTGATTTAGTAAAAGAAAAAAAGAAAGAAAAAATCGATGTGTAACAATGTTCGACAATATGTCTGCGTTCAAGTTAAGATTATTTTTTTTACAAGTATAACATTTACAAAGTACTTTATATGAGTATATTTTTATAATTATAAATCAGATTAATCTTAATTTGCATAAGGCAGACATACAATCAAAATATTGTTAAACATTGTCGACATTTTCACAGTTATGGAAGACCGAATAAAAAATTTGAAGATAACAGTATCTAGGATTGTGTATATAAATGTGATAACAATATATACATTCTTTCTTGTATATCAAGAACAATTTCAAGGCAGTGCGGCAGTGGAAAAAGTTTTACACTTCATTTGAAATAAGTTGATGTTAACGCGATAAAACATACATACGAATGCATGTCGCTGGGAATTTGAAATTTAAAAAAATATTTTCTTTCATGTTTTTTGGGTATATAATCTAAACGATATATATATATATATATATATATATATATATATATATATATATATATATATATATATATATACAGGCAGATAGATAGATATTTATTTCATACGTGTATTTCAATTGTGTATATGTAGGCATCGTACATATAATAGTTTTTGCACTTTTATCTCTATGTTCATGTATTTATCTTTTCTTGGTTTGTTTTGTCCTATTAGTGTATTAGTGCTTGGAGTTTGGCGAGTCTGTTTATTCGTATGTTGGTACGTGTGTGTGATTTCTTTTCTATACATTTACCTGTATATTGACGTATCTGACATAATTTTCATTTGCGTGGTTTTTTATATGTTTGTATGTCGTTATCCTTTTTTTTCCTTTTATTCTTTTTATTTGCCCGTCCAGTGCTTTCTGCATTCTGTTGAGATTTCTTCTAGACTTAATGAATTATTTAATTATAATTACAGTGTAACCCGGATATAAGAGAGTTGTCGGGACCGGAGAAGAAGTCTCTTATATCCGGGTTTCTCTTATATCCGGGTTTGGTCTATTATATATACATTAACACAGGCTCTAATTTGGGACCAGAGAAAATCTATCTTATATCCGGGTTTCTCTTATATCCGGGTCTCTTATATCCGGGTTACACTATATCGGAAATCCTCCTAATTTTTATCACTTGTATATCTTTTCTTGAACCAGCTTCTAATGCTCTGGATGGAGCGGCTTGGGATAGTAGTGGTGGCTCGTGAAAGCACAGTCCTATGGGGAAAAGAGAAACTCGGATGAGTTCCACCACAGAATATGTGATCGAGAAGCGCTAGATCAAGTCTGATTCGCTACCTCTTCGTCACTGCTTCCCGTTGGAATAGTTAGTATGACGTTGGGTTGATCACGTAGCTGTCCGGGCTTCTATTCTCGGTAGTGGATTCGAACTCCTGATGTGTCCAAAATATAGAACGAAACGGCCTTTCCGTGTTTCTGCGTTCTGTTAAAGTTTCTTTTAGACTCGATGAATTACTTAATCATAATATATATGTATATATAAAAGCGTGTGTCTGTGTATGTATGTACTTAGTTTCTCTTTATGTTTGTACCATGATATAATACTAAACAATATTTGACTATTTTCTTTCTTTCTTCTTTACTTTTCAATCATTTCGAATTCTACATTCTTACGCTTGAAGATAATATCCGTCTTCGTTAAAGCAAATCTGAGACATGAAACGAAAACTGAGTCTATAAACCCACAGGTAT